CCAATTTATTTTGGATTCTTCAAGCCAGGCTGGGATTTGGGATTTCTGGGTTCCAATTTATTTTGGATTCTTCAAGCCAGGCTGGGATTTGGGATGTTTGGATTCCAATTTATTTTGGATTCTTCAAGCCAGGCTGGGATTTGGGATTTATGTGTTCCAAACTCTTCTGGATTTCAATTCTTTTTGGATTCTTCAAACCAGGCTGGGATTTGGGATTTCTGGGTTCCAAATTCTTTTGGATTCTTCCAGCCAGGCTGGGATTTGGCATTTCTGGGTTCCAATTTCTTCTGGATTCCAGTTCTTTTGTGATTCTGCAAGCCAGGCTGGGATTTGGGATCTCCAAAATGAACCCATCTTGATTTTTTTTTTCATCTCCCAAATGAACCCATCTTGATTTTTTTTTCATCTCCAAAATGAACCCATCTTGATTTTTTTTTCATCTCCCAAATGAACCCATCTTGATTTTTTTTTCATCTCCAAAATGAACCCATCTTGATTTTTTTTTCATCTCCAAAATGAACAAATCTTGATTTTTTTTATCTCCAAAATGAACCAATCTTGATTTTTCAACTGACATCCCGTCTGCCACATTTTCTGCAGGTGTCTTCCTTGAATTAATGACTTTATCCAGCAATTATCCATCCCTGAGAGTCCAAACAAGCATCCTAATTTCCCTGAGCCCGAGGCTGAGGAAACAGGGGATGAACCCTTCTCCTGGATTATAACTCACAGCTCTCAGAACCACCCAACTCCTGGCTATAAATTCCTTTCCCAGAGCACTTCCTTCCCAGTTTTTTTCTCCTCAGAAGAATTTACCTGTGTCCTTAATCCTCATTTTATCCTCACTGCAATCCTGAAGGGTTTTACCTGCACCACCAGGTGAGCAAAAGGTACAGGATGGATCCAAAAAAATGTGGACAAGGATCCCATGGGACTCAGAGTGAAGTAAATAATAAGTGTCAGGGAGGTAAAAAAACCACATTAAACTGTTGTGGTTGATGTGCATCCATTCCTGAGCAGGAAGTTTCTACAGTTGCTTTTATTTCTGAAAAAAAATGGGGTTTTTTTTGAACACGCGTCCACGAAGCGATGGGACAAGGGGGAACCACAGTCAGGAGGAGGAGGGAAGGTTTGGTTGGATACTGGGAAGGAATTCTTGGCTGTGAGGGTGGAGAGGCCCTGGCACAGGTTGCCCAGAGAAGTTGTGGGCTCCTCATCCCTGGAAGTGTCCGAGGGCGGGTTGGAGCGAGCCGGGATAGCGGGAGGTGTCCCCGCCCGTGGAATTGGGATGGGATGCTCCTCACCTGTTGGTGATGGGAACATTCCTGTCCCTCATGGCAAACAGGAGCGTGGCAATGCAGTAAAGCACCTCGGTCACCTCCAGCACAGAGAGGTTGGAGCGGGGTCTCCTCAGACATTCCAGCAGCCCCTGGATGTCGCCGACGCTGTCGGAGAACAGCACCATGACTGCAATGATGGCCCACATGTTCTCAGCCTGGCAGAGGGGAAAGACAAGGAAAAACTCAGAGTTTTCAGGAGCAGGAGGAACTGCTTCAACCTTTAAAACCCCCCTGCTAATTCCATGATAAATAATTCAACCCTCCTCAGCCTCAAGGAGCAACCCCGGAGGGAGAACCTTCGGACGCGGGAACGCCCTCGAAGTTTAAATAAAGCTTAAATAAACGTGGAATTTATTTAATAAATGTGAAACAAACGTGTGAAACCCACCCCTGTCTTGCTCTGCAGATGGGGCAGCTTGTTGGCCACGCACACTTGGGCCTTGGAGAAGAGGTGGTGGCTTCCCAAACACCGGAGAACCGCGCCGGGATCCACGTTCCCCCTGACGGGCGTGGCCGACACCAACCTGGGCAGGAGGACAAGGGTTAAGGAGTGAATCGAGTCCCCAGGGCAACAATGACCCCTCCAAAGCACCCCCAGGGAGGCTGCAGCAGGTTGGACTGTCCCTGGCTGGGTGTTATCCCAAATTTGGACCAGCTGCAACTTGGATTTCCAGCCCGTTACAGTGCCAAGAGACATTTAGACAAGAGATTCCCAGTTCTAAAATATTCTAAAATACTTGGGATTTCCAGCCCATTCTGTGCCAAGAGACATTTAGACAAGCCATTCCCAGTTCTAAAATATTCTGAAGTATTCTAAAATACTTGGAATTTCCAGCCTATTCCAGTGCTAAGAGCCATTTAAACAAGTGATTCCCAGTTCTAAAATACTTGGGATTTCCAGCCCATTCTGGTGCCAAGAGACATTTAGACAA